GAGGCCTCAGATTCACTGTGATCCTTCTGCCTTGGCCTCAAGTGCCGGGATGACAGACCTGCACCCCTCGCCTGCCTGTTTCTGTGGTCTTTATGTCTTCTCTGCACAGGCAAATTGCCACGGCAAAGACAATAAAGGCTTTTGCGCATTACTGTACAGGTGAGAGCATTCAGCTAACTTAAAACCAAGAGCAAACAAAACTAACAGAAAATGATATTTGTTACCCACTTAAATACTTCCTCAGCCGGGGGTGTGGCTCAGTGGCTCAGCACATACATGTTAGCATGTTCGAGGCCCTGCTTTCAATCCCCTGCACCAAAAAAATCAAAACCAGAACAATACTTTCAGGGTATTAATATTCAATCCAATTAATCAGATTCCTGAATACATTAAAATCCCACCGCTGAACCCACAAGAGAATAAAAGATAAGAAAATTAATTAGTGCAACAAAAATAACAGGCACCAAATTATAGGACTGGTCATTACTTAGTATTCATCCAGTACTACAAATTCCGAGAGCAAGAACCATGTACACACTCACTACTGTGCATGAGCGAACCCATCGGATCAGTACTTCATTAAGCAGGTTTCAACACCTGCGAATGGACCGTTGGCAAGCAGAGTGCTATGCTTGGTTTAGACACAGTGCCATTGCCCATGTAGGATGGTTTCTCTGGGGGGAATTAGCACTGCCCTGCTGGCTACTGAGAACCAAAGAAGCAAAGGCCTAGCTGGGCACAGTGGCAATCCACACATACAATCCCAGCTGCTCAGGAGGCTGAGGCAGGAGGACCTGGGTAACTCTGCAAGACTCTAACTTTAAATATGTTAAGTAAGTAAGTAAACAAGGACTGGAGACGCAGCCAGAGGTGGACCGCTTGCCTGGTGTACGTGAAGCCTGAGGCTCAAGCCCCAGTACTACAACAAACAAACAATAACAAAAGCCCAACCAAAGTAACCAAAGAAGAGAAGTCAAGGCAAGACAGACAAAATGAACTCCCATTCCTATGAGGTTCCTAATTCCTCCCACTCCCCACCCCACGATTAGGGCACCGTGAGTGAGACAGGGAAGGTGGCGAAAGTTCCCGACTCTGAGGGAAGCTGTGTGCAGCCACAGCTCGGGAGCTGCCGCTTAACTTCCCGGCATTTATTAGTACAGCAAAATGCTGACGTGCGGGTCCACTGTTTCCGCAGACTCTGCATACAGTCATTCATTCGTTTAGAGACAGGGCCTCATAAAGTGGCCCAAGTTGGGCTCACACTATTGATCCTCCTGCCTCAGCCTCCTGCAGTGCTGAGATTACAGGCCTATGCCACCATGAAGGTTGCACACTGGGTTTGAAAGTCATATTCTCTCACCCCCAACACGTGACGTTAAATTATATACTATCCCAGTAAAGTCTCACCCAGCTCTACGCCAACGTCCAGGCCAGTGTTTTTAAGTGGTCACTCAGCAGCGCCCTGGGTGACAGCACTTTCCAAGCCTGCTGCTCCACCTCCCACTCATGATCTCAGGGCCGGTCCTCCTGGATGTTACAGGGAACACAGAACACTCAACAGCAAACCCAAGCAATCCAATTGTAAAGTGGAACAGATATTTCCCTGGAAGACCCAGAAATAGCCACCGGTGTGGGAAACAAGGGACACACTACTAATCACCAGGGAAATGCAAACCAAACGAGACGTCACCTCTGCCTAGTTAGCTGGCTCCGATCACAAAGACAACAAAACCACAAATGCCAGTGAGGACGCAGGAAAGGGAGCAGCCACGTGCTGCTGAGGGCGTGTGAAGGACAGCTGCGAAGAGCAGCAGCGCGCCCCAGGGACCTGGAGGCCACGCTGCGCTGCCCCAGGCCCGCGGGTATCAGAGAGCAGCAGCGCGCCCCAGGGACCCGGAGGCCACTCTGCGCTGCCCCAGGCCCGCGGGTATCAGAAGGGATGAGTCAGTGCATCAGAGACCCTGCCCGAGGGTCAGATGCAGTCTGTGTCCAAGAGCTGAGACAAGGGACAGACCAGGGCCAGAGGGCGAGGCCCGAGGGGAGAACACGCGGGACAGAAGCACCACAGAAGGCCACTCCAGCCCTGCGACTCGCTTCTCTCACACGTCCAGGTGCAAACAGCTGATTTCATCAAGTCAGAAAGGAACAGTGGTTCCTGGAGCCCAGGACAGGAAAAGGAAGCAAGAAAGCGAGGCCCCACAGTGCTACCAAAATACACTGGGACTGGAGGAACAAGTTTCAACACTCAGCACCATCGGGTGAGTACAGCGCACACCCATATGCCTACTGTCTGAGAAGCTGAGGCAGGAGGATGGCATGTTTGAGTCCCACCTGGGCAATTTAGTGAGGTTCAACACAAAAATAAAAAGGTTTGGGGATGTAGCTCAATGTGAAATCCTCAGTACCACAAAAAATCAATCAGCTAATTAAAAAAAAAAAAAAAACAACTATACTGGGCATGGTAGCACATCCCTATAATCCCAGCACTCAGGAGGCTGAGGCAGGGGGATTGTTGTAAAGCTCAAGGCCAGCCTGAACTACATAAGAAGACCCTGTCTCAAAAGACCAACAAAAGTACAAATACGAAAAAGGAGAAACTAGAATGCACCCTGTGGCACTGAACCTGAACAGGTGGTACTGGTGTGGATACACAAATCATCACAGGAATACACCTTGGAGATGCTGGGGATTCAGCTCTAGACCACTGTGATACAATGAGGATTTCAGTGAAGCTAATAAAACAAATTTTGGTTTCCCAGTAAAAATAAGTTTACAACACTGTTCTTCATGAAATGTGCAACAGCACACCTTAAGAAATGTGGATGCTTCAGTTTTAAAATATTTTATTGCTGACCAGTGTGAAGGCTGGAGTGGCTACAGCCATTTCTGCCTCCTTGTCCTGCCCTCCCCCAACTCTCTTTCTTCTGTCTCTCTGCGAGGACCACACCGAGGGTGAGGGTGAGGGTGAGTGTGGGTCACAACAATTTATGCACGCAGTCTCACCAATGAGCAACAATCCCAAGCCTGGCAACTTCTTCCAATAAATGAGGTTTGCCACCTTGACTGATTCTGGTGATTTCTCTGTAGCATCTAATACCTCTGACAGCATTTTACCCACAGCAGAATAACGTCCAGTCGTGAAAACTTTGGCCACTGCTCTGCCAACCGTTGATGTAATTTGCAAGTGCTCTGCTGTCATTTTGACAACTTCACCAGGGGTAGGTTTCATCTCATCCACAGGAAAGGCCTCGATCATTAAATGTTTTGTTTACTTTGAGATGAGTTCCTACTGTCAAACTGAGATTACTTTTTTTGGGGCAGAGGTACCGGCAATCAAACTCATGACCTTGTGTTTGCCAGGCAGGAGCTGAGCTATATCCCTGGCCCTCAAACTGAGCTTAAATTTGAGTAACAAAAGAACCAATGATAGGTCAGGGGTGCTAAAGCAGGCCTGTTGAGGCAGGAGGACCCCAAGTTTGAGCCCTGACTGGGCAACTTAGTGACTCTGTGAGACTTGGTCTCAAAATAAAAATTAAAAAAGGGCTGGGGCCAGGGCTGGGGATATAGCTCAGCGGCATAAGCACCTGCCTTGCAAGCAGGTGGTCATGAGTTCGATCCCCAATACAGATTAAAAAAAAAAAAGGGCTGGGGCCATAGCTGAATGTGAAAGCCCTAAATTCAATAAATAAACGAATAGATTAAGTTTGGTGAGTACTGGGATATAGAAACTTTAATGTATCTCTGCACAAAATGCTAATCAATAAAGAAATATGAATTAACTTTAGAATAGAATAATGTGGTTGATATCTTCTGAGTAATAGAAATTCATTAAAATTTGACAAATCAGAATTGGGTGCTGCTTTGTTTCTGTGACATCCCTGTCAAAGCTGCAGTCTCCCCTAGTCATAAGGAAACATCCCACAAACCCACACCAAGGCTCATTCTGTAACACAACTGCCATGCCATTTGCAAGAGAAACAAAGTCACAAAAATTAAGGGAACACTGAGGATTCGATCCAGGATGAAGGAAACTAGCGCCACGAGATGTGCAACTGGCCTGCCATAAAGGACACCGTGATGACAAAGGCTAAACTTGGAACAGAGTTTGCAGAGAGGGCGGTGGCTACTAGAGTCTGCAACTAACCCCCCCACCCCCACCCCGTGACGTGCTGCTATTGGCACAGTGACAATTTCAAGTTACAGGCACCCGAGAAACAGCAGGCACAACAATACTCTGATCTTCCTTGGGGGTCTCAAAAGCAGATGAAATTTCCATATGAAAAACGCCTCCATCTCCCATAAAGTCCTGCGTTTCCAAGAGAGTAGAAAGGAAGAAGCTGAGATTATCCAAGCTTCCACTCAAAAGAGCCCAAAACTACTTCCGATGATCAGCTAAAGGAAAACGCCACAGTTAAGCCAATATGTTCCTTTCTAGTTTGGGGGAACTCTTCTAGACCAACTGGAAAGGCTCTCCAGAGTTTGATTTTCTATCAACCAGATGGCATTACCTCAGCAATCTGTACCTCAGACAGAAGTACTCTGCTTTGAAATAGTTCCATCAAAAACCAGAGATTTCAAGTAAGTGCATTTAGGGCCGGGGATACAGCTCAGCAGCATATGCATGTGCCTGGCAAGCATGAAGTCCTGAGTTTGAGTCCCAGCATCAAAAAAAAAAAAAAATTAAGTGCAATTAGAATTTCACTTCAAAACATTTGCACTGCTGGATGTGATGGCAGTCAGTTGCAGAGGCTGAGGCAGGAGAATCACAGTGAGGGCAAGGTCAGCCTGAACTACATAGCAAGACCCTGTCTCAAAAACAAAAACCAAAGAATTACTACTTTATTCCACTAAATTTTAGGTTATCTTGTTATGCAGCCATGGTAACTGAGAAACTCTTCTTTAAGGAAAAACACCAGACTGCCCTGTAAGAAGATGTGCAGTAAATATCTGTGCAGTGAAGTCAACACTGCCAAGTCAGATACAATCGAGCGTGAGCTTACCACTCGGGCGGCACCATGCTCCCGTCCACATCCCAGAAAGTGTTCTTGCCGTTCATTTTGGTGGTGTACATGACCCATCGGTGACGGCCTGGTGGAAAGACATCAGGAAGCGAAAGTGTCCATGTATAACAGCAAGCAGTCCTCTCTTAGGAATGTTACAAGCTCCCCCCAGAGCAGCGATAAGAGGACTAAGCACCCTAGGTCTAGCGGTGAAGGGGAGCTTCACCCACAGCCTGTGTCACCCCAGCAGGTGCCTGACCTGGGCCTGCGGGGTGCACTGCAGTGGGCAGGCTCAGGCCCCTCTCTTAGGGTTGAGTTGAGCCCACAGAAAAATGTGTTCCCAGCTGTTTAGTGTTCAGGTCTGGAAATGCTCCTCCTGAAATGAGGCAGGCATATATTCAGAGGACCCTACTTGAATTCTGTGTTTTCACAGAAATATATTAAAAGAACCACTTCTCACCCTTTTGGATGTCTATGACTTTTGCATAATAAGCAACCTTATAAAGGTAGGCTAACTAAATTGGGTCATCATCAAAATATGACAGCTGCATTTTTTCACAAAAATTTTTGGAATTGTTGGAGACCTCACCACTATTTACACAACTTTTTTTTTCTTTTCTCTTCTCTTTTTTCTTTTCTTTTCTTTTTCTTTCTTTCTTTTTTTAGAGAGACGAGGTCTTGCCATGTATGTAGTTTAGACTGGTCTTAAACTCACTAGGTAGCCCAGGCTGACATCGAACCTGTGGTGACTCTCCTGCCTCAGCCTCTTGTATGGTGGGATTACAGACATGTGCCATCATGCCTGGCACAAAACTATTTCTACTGAATTCTTAAATTGCGTAAAGACCTAGATTTCAATCTGGGCTTTGTCACTTGATATTACACTAACTTCACTGGATAGTAGGCAAATTTGTTTTTTGGATACCAAAGAATAAACTCACGACCTCACACTTGCCAGGCAGGTACTTATGCCACTGAGCTAAATCCCCAGTTCCTAGCCTCAGCTCCTGCATCTATTAAAAATGTATGATGCCACGCAGTGCTGCACAAGTAAATTCCTGTTACTGGAGAGACTGAGGCAGGATGGCTGCAAATTCAAGCCTAACCTTTGATGTCAGCCTAACTCTGCCTCGAAATAAACCCCTAAATTTTGCAGCTGACCTCTGATGTTTGATTCTTCTGCTATTTCTTTTTAAAATTATTTTTAAATTCCTTTGTTTTTAGACAGGGTCTCACTATATGTGGTCTGAACCCACAATATAGCCCAGGCTGGCCTCCAACTCACAGTGATCCTCCTGCCTCAGCCTTCTGTGTGCTAGAGATTACAGGTATGTGCCTCCGTGCCCAGCTGAATTCTTCTGCCTTAGAGACTTAGTGAGTCTCTGTCTCAAAAAAAAAAAAAAAATGCTGAAGGTACAGCTCAGTGTGAAGGCCCAGATTCAACCCCTAGTACCTTGTGCATATGTACACACATGCACACACACATGCACGTGTACATACATACATAGATAACTAGAGCACACGGTAATGCCCCAAGCCCCATGCAATCCAAGCACATTGGTGGGGGTGGGGGTGAGGCAAGAGTACTAGTTGAAACTAAATGAGAGACCTTGTCTCAAAAAACAAACGAAAAAGGATAATTCAAAATAAACTGTAATCCAACTACAATCCAATGAGGATGGGGCAAGCAGACAGAGGCGGCCTTGGATAGGGGGTCACAAATCAGGCCATGACAGTGGAATTTGGTTATCATAGTAGAGCTGGGCCTTAGTGATTTTACACTTGAGAGATATTAAACCAAAATATTCAAAGTCCATACTCAGACTAGGCAAATCAACTTCCAGGAATTTCTACTTAAAATATTAAAAAACAGGTGGAGATGTAACTCAATGTGAAGGCTCTGGGCTAAATCCCCAGTACTGCATAATGAATAACAAAACAAAACAAAAAATCAAAGGCAACTTAAATGTCCCTCAATGGTCAACAGTTTGAAAAAATTCCAGTTCACTCAACAAAAGAATATTGTGTTGCTGTTTTGAAAAAATGCTACGAAGCTGAGTGTGGTGGTGCACACCTACAAACCCATTACGCAGGAGGCTGAGGTAGAAAACTCACAAGTTCAAGACCAACCTGTACAAATTAGAAACTTATGAAGACTCTATCTCAAAAAATTAAAAAGACTGGGTATATAAGTCAGTTTTTTTTCCATAGGTGAAGACTACTTGTTATTCTTTGATACTGTTCATCTGAATTAAGAATCTTTTTCAAAGAATCATTTTATTATCATAAAATAATAAATTCTCATGGTAGAAAATTCAAGAAGGTAATACTATAATACTGTTTATTGAGCACTTACTACGTACCAAACACTAGATGAATCGTTCTGAACAGCTGACATTGAGCATTGTCTGGAGACATTTTTGGTCTTCACACTTGCAGGCATGCTACTGATCACTACACATGTTGTACAAGACAGCCCCTCACAACAAAGAACTATCTCAACCATAGTGTTAGTGTGAGGCAGAGATGCCCTACGTTTGGATAAACTTCTCCTAAGTATGTGCATTCTGCTCTTCCCCAGCAGTGCTAGGAATTAAACTCACCCTTGGGCATGCTAAGCAAGTGCTCTACCACTGAGCTGTATCCCAACCACAGTCCAGTTATCCTCACCAAAAGTATTGCACTCACCAAAAAATTGCTTGTTGTCTTCATAGTATTTGTTGCCATATTTGTCTTCTCCCACTAATGTGCCAACCCTCACATCATTTGTCCTGTAAACGTCCAAAAGAAAATAGACGTGTCAGAATCACTCGTTCAAAACACAAACGGATGGGGGTGAGAGGGGCGGGGGATACAGTTTAGCGGCACAGCACCTGCCTAAGTGTTAGGTTGAGTTTGATTCCCCGTACCAAATTAAAAAAAAAAAAAAACAAAAAAAAAAAAAAACAAAGAAGAAGAAAACAGGGTGAGAATACCAACTTTCCAAGATAAATGCTGTGTAACAATCAGAAAAATGAGACAATGACCAGAGCTTGTCCCCAGCTGTAAGGGCACTATGGCCATCACCTCCAAGCAAGGGCACTCATATGTGAGATCAGCTTTGATCAACTCTGGAAATCCTTTGTATCATCCCACTACCTAGCAGCACGCATAACGAATGGGCAAAAATAAACTGATCCAACTGATGTGCTGAAACTGCACTATAAATATAAATGCGATCTCTAACATCACAAGACTACTTTGATCTCCTAGTATGCGGGTGCTAACCCGCACGGGAAGTCAGGAAGTTAAAAGGACTTCATGACTTCCCAGTGACACCGCGTCCCGGCTCCGCGCCTGCACTCTGGCTTCGGACTCGTTTTGCGCGGCTGCAGCTGCTGTCCGGCTCAGGACCCGCTCAGAGCCCTGCTATCGCCGCCCTCAGCGCCTGGCTGTGCAGGAAGCGAACAGAAGGACAGACAGGGAAACTTTCCCGAGATCCCCACGCCCCGCTCGCCTGGTGTCACAGCTCTGTGTCTGGAGATGGCTCAGTGCTGGGTTGAGGTCGCCGAGCGGAGACCTCCACGGGGAGGGCAACGCTGAGCCTGGACCCCCGGTGTCCTTGATAAGAACCGTGGAGTCCTCAAGGTGAACCAAACCCGGACCCCTTCCCAACAATAAGAGGCGCTGGGCTAGCCGCAGAGACCAAGAGCATAGCTTTAAACGCCTACCTGAAGAAAACTCGTAGATAGCCAAGGAGGCCACCGTGGCCAGTGATCTGCTGCACCCCGCGCTTCAAGACCTGCAGCAACTCCATCTTGTCTCACAGGCCCCGCCTCCCGGTGCGCCAGGCAAAACCCACCGCACGGAAGCGGCGGCTCAGCAGCAAGGCGCCGACGCGAAGAAAGTTCCTAGCAGCGTGTAGTTAGCTCTGCGCGTGCGCAGAAATGAAGCTCCCCAACCTGCTGCTGCTCCTGTTTGCTGGCTCCAAAGCACGCGCCGTTGGTCAACCCAGGGAGCAAACCCGCTGTAGACTTAAGTTTTCAGAGGTTACAGGGATAAGGGTAAGGCTTATCCAGACTTCTCTTTTGAAAAATCAGTGTTTTCATTTTTAAATGATTGGTTTGTCAGGCGGGGTAGTGCACATCTGTAATCCCAGGACTTCGGAAGCTGAAGCAGGACTGCTGTGAGTTCGAGGCCAGCCTGCATTACATAGTGAGACCCTGTTTCAAAAATCCAAACAAAACAAACAAAACCTCTTAACAAAACTAAACCAGTCTGGGCATCTTGGTGACAGACTGTCTCAAAAACTCAAAAAGGGCTGGGGATGTAGCTCACCAACACCCGTTCAGTTACCCGTACTATAGACACGCACACACACATGCACACGTTCACACACACGCAATGAATAAGTAAAAGCTGATCCTTGGACTGTCATCAGAAGCGGCACACAGTCACTTCCTTTTTCTCTCATACTTTCAGACTCCAACCTTATTTCCCTAAAACTTCAAGATTTATAACATAGACATTTTTCTCTAACTACAGGTTTTCCTAATTGTTAATTAAAACACTGATACTCAAAATTATTTCTAGAAAGACGAAGTAATATGCCTGCATCCGGAAAATACTTCAATTTTATGTTGGTAAATTTTCAACTCCAAAGAAATTTCCACAACAAGCATCAAATTTTCTTGTAGACTCATCAATTAATTGCTCAGAATCATGTCATATTTGAATAAATAATGAGCTGTGACTGAGATGCACTTTTGGTTTTCGGTTCCACTTGAAATATTCCAATGTGTATCTAAGAAGTCTTTCAAAAACATAGTATCATTCGCTCACCGGAAAAAGTAACATCTTAACATCATTAAATATCCAGTTGACAACCAGGATTACCTGACACAGCAAGTATTTTCTGTCATTCCATAATTACTTTTTTCTTCTGTTGACTATTTTGCTTTTGTTGCTTGTGCCTTTGGGGTCATACCCAAGAAAATACTGTTAAACTCTACATAATGGCTTCCCATTTGTCTTCGGGTTTGATGGTTTTACGTCTTGTATTTCAGGTGTTTCATCCATTCAGAGATATTTCCGTAGAAGAATTAAAGGTCCACTTCATTCTCTTGCATATGCATATCCAGTTTCCCCAAGACACACTTTGCCCTGGCTTACTTTTTAGATACTGGGTCTCACTATATCATCCAGCCTGGCTACAACTCCTAGACCCAAAGAAGCCTCAGCCTCAGCCTCCCAGGTAGCTCTTGCAGGTGTGGGCCACCATGACTGGCCCCGAGAATTCTTGAAGAGGCTGTGCTGTCTCTGAGATTTGCCTTGGCATCCTTGTTGCAAGCAGATCATCTTTCCAGGTTCTTTGGTGTTTCTGTGGTCTCTATTCTGTTCCATGTCGTCTCATGCCAGGATGACACTATTCTGGTTATTGGAACTATGTGTTTTGAAGCCAGGAAGTGAAGTCTTAAGCCTTTTCTTTCTTGAGAATGTTTTTGCCACTTAATCCTTAGAATTCTATATGAATTTTAGGACTTAAAAGATTAGTAAAGGCCACTGAAGTTTTGATGGGGATTTCACTGAACCTGTAGAATGCTTTTGTTAGTACATTTTACCAGTATTAAATATTTCAACTTGGGGCTGGGGATTTAGCTCAGCGGCATAAGCGCCTGCCTTGCAAGCAGGCAGTCGTGAGTTCGATCCCCGGTGCCGATAAAAAGGAAAAAGACCAAAAAAAATTTCAACTCTTGAACATGAATGGCTTTCCACTTGTCTCATTTAATTTCTTCCAGCAAGCTATGTGGTTTTCAGTGTACAAGTCTTTTACCTCCTTGGTTAAACTAAATCCTAATTTTATTTTTTGTGGTTACTGTAAATGTGACTGTTTTAATTTCCTTTTTGTCATTGTCAGTGTGCAGAATACATCTGGTCTTTGTGTTGCTTTTGTATTCTGTAACTTTCCTACATTTAATTTTAACCATTTTGGGGGTTCTTACATGAGACACAGTCTTGCTGTGTTTCAGCCTCACCTTGAATTTACTATGTAGCCCAGGCTGTCCGCAAACACACAGTGATCCTCCTGCCTCAGCCACGAGAATGCCAGGATCACAGGTGTGTGCCACCACACCGTTTTTCTCTTCCTTCTAGAACTGCACAGACCTTTCTTTTCTTTGATGAATGCAAGAGACTGATGACTTCTACTGCCAGGAAGAATGGTAAAGTGGCTTCTCCTGGTTTTACCAACCCTTGTTGGTAAAGTCAGAACCAGGAAGTCAGCACCAGATCGTGCAGACGCAACGCTGAGGGACTCCATACTGTGCTGGCTTCAACCCTACCTGAGGTCAGAGCAATGGGCGTGGCTTTCCAGCAAGGGGGGGGGGAGCCTTTCCCAAGGCGCCTTGCCAGCAGCAGACAGCATATGTGCTGGCTGAGCCCCACAGCGCCATCTCTACCAACCCATGCATATTGTAGATTCTTGAGCTAAACAGATGTTAAACCACGTGGAGTGCGAAAGCAGTAGGTAACTACACACCATCAATACTCTAAGCCCCTCACATATCCCTCTGTTTTCATCAAACAGCATCTAAACCAAGTATCACTAATTCTTGCTTTTTAACGATTAATGGCACCCTGAACAACACCTGCACTGCATTTGTTTAACAAATCTGTTAGGTTATACTCTTGTGTACATCTAGGCTTGCTGTTTTCGTGCATTATATTTTGTGAACTCACCGATGTTGACAATTTACTCCTGTGTTTGGTTCTGGACAGCATGACACTGTTCTCTGCTCGTACAGTGCTGACGTGCACTTTCTGCCTCAGTGCTGGAGATGCAACCCAGGGACTTGCACACTGGGCAGAAGCCCCAGCACTGAGCTGCGCCCTCAGCCCTGTGACGTGGAAGAGCTCAGCACTGAACAACAAGACACTGAAATGAATATAGTGGTAGAATGCATAACTTTGTAACACAAGTAACATTTTAATATAGCTTAACAGTTCCATATATAACTACAAATTTAATCAGGAAAAAATACCTGAAACATCGTAATTAGTCATTGGTACATGAATTAGGAAATTTTCTGAATCCTTGGCTTACTACCATGGGTTTATAAAGGTATAATTCTTTTCCATTTGAGTGTTATATACTAAGTGTGTAGCTTTAAAGTTGTTGACAAAAATTGTGATTTAAATTGGGAAAGAAGTTTTACTTAGTAAGTTGTTAAGAGATTAAGTTGATACTTTTAAAAAGTTGATACTTTAAAAAAATGACTATAAAATAGTCATCAGTAAAATCCACACTCCCAAAAATTTCAGCTTCTCTATTGTAAAAATCTTTATAAAAAATGTACTTAGTACAGCAAATTCTCCATATTTGTGTTTTGAAAATTGGTAAGTCATACCAAAAGAACTCACTGTGAAATCAGAGCAACAAACTATCTAACAGTAACAGGTTTGCTTATAACATTGCAGGGGGAGACTCAAAAGTGTAAAATGCTTTTGTAGGTGTGGTGGAGCACAACTGTTAATTCCAGCACTTGAGAGGCTGAGGCAGGAGGAATGCCACGAATTTGTGAGCTAGGCTGCACAGTGAGCTCAAGGTCAGTCTGAACTACAAAGCAAGGTCCTGTCTCAAAATGAAAAAGCAAAAAAAAAAACAAAAACAAAAACAAAAAATGCTTTTGTTGTGGGATAACATGGCTTCAAGCTGACCTTTCAACACTACTGCTTTGTAATGAAAGAATCAGTACATGTTCCTTTAAAGATTATCGAATGTTTTAAAATCACTGTTTAATCACAGACTTTTTTGAAAACATGGACTGGCTATGACAAGTCATTATTGAACAACCTGGACCAGCTCTTCTAACATTCTGAAAGAAATCCCCCAAACCCCAGGGCAGTCAGTAAGCTGTAACACACAGGTATTGGAAGAAGGGAAATTCAAGTGCTTCCCTTGGAATATGTAAAAGCAACAATTTTAATATTCATTTTGAAAAGGTGAAATATTGGGGCTTTAGATTCCACTATATTTAATATATACCAATAAACAAAGAAATAATAACCCCATCTTATTCTCAAAATCAATTTCTTGCCACCTAAAAAGTGCTTATAACTAATAAAACACAATATTTAAAGTCATGAATGGCCTATGTCTCATTGCCAGCAATGAGTAGTGTATGCTAAAGGAGATTATGAATTTACAAAGACAAAAAATATATATTTGACTATTATTTTCTACAGTTCTAATATTATCATACCATTGAGCATAAAATAATCTTTAACATGGCAATTAAAACAGATTACATTATGGAAGATCAAAATACAAATAAGGAATTTCTCCTTAGGGATAATGGCCAGTAAGTATATTAGTTCACAATAAAGTTAAATATGAATAGAACACAATTTAGGGGGAAAAGACTAATTTATTTGTTTTATAATACAAAACAGAGACAGAAAGGGAAATCTAATTCCTGCTGACTGTCCAGTCACTTCAAAAGTTCTTTTTAAGGAAGCTGAAGTAAAAATACCTTGGATTTTGGTAACTTTTTAAAGTCAAAATTTCCAGACACCCTGGAAGAGATGAGTTCAATTTGGTATCCTTTTGTGTTCCAGGAAGGAACAATAAATTTACACTAGGTGATCACAGCTTTCAAATGCTGTGGCCAATTATCTGCGAGTTATAGTCCGCGGGCTCCATCTTTAGAATGTGCGGGATGACGCTGTCGATCCGTACGTTCCCAATGAGGCCTTTGAAGAACAGCTCTTCCGTGATGGTGGCGTTCATCAGTCGCAGGGCTGGCAGCCGGAGCAGCAGCCTGGACAACCTGAAAGAAAGGGAGGGCGGAGAAACAAGGCTGTCAACCAGTTCAAGAGTCCAAAAACACCAGTGAGCCCTGCTTCTTTATTCCCTGGGGTCTAATTTAATACAGATGTAATTCTCAACAGCTAAGACCAAACTTCAGACACTCATGCCCGAGGCTGTGTGACAACTGGCCACACAAAGCCAGCTACCGATTCCATGGGGAAGCCTCACTCTCAGGTGTGAAGCTGCGCTGCCTCACGTGGCTGTGAGGACCATAAAGTGGAGCCGCTACACCACGGGGAGCTTACACATTTAAAACAGGCTCCCCGACTCGTTTCTGATCCTAAGAAGAGCAGGATACACACATTCAATTAGTACCTCAGTTTTACCGTATAAAGCAGTACTGGAGTGGTACCACAGGCAGGAGTAACCCTACTGGGAAGAGTGCGGAACATGGAACCGAGCCCACTGGCTTCAAACCCTGCCCCACCTGCCCCACGCTTTGTGAAGTGTGCCGCCACTCATTCCCTGTGTCCCCCACCGTGTGTGGTGAGGAGGGAGAGGATCCCTGCCAGCTTCTAGGCCACCTAGCAAGGTTCTTAAGGGCGGGGCCTCGGCTTATCCTAAAGCTCACCTTAGGTTGAAAACTGCTCTCTAAGGATAATGATTTTAAATAGGCGGGAACTTAAAAGCTGAGAGTTTTGATCTATCAAAGCATCTGCAAGGAAGAGTTGCATGCTCAAAAGGAGGCAAATTATAAATACTACATCGATTTGCATAATAACACAAGCAGCTTTCTCCCTAGGGCCAATTACTCAATATAAGCAACTTGTAAAATTTTAAGAAACTGAACCACCACCAGGCTACCTCTGTCAAAAAATCTTGTGGTCCATTTATCTTTCTCTTTTCCTAACGTCTTGCACGTTGACCCTTAAGACCACACGGCCGAGAGCTGATCATCGGCCTCCTCTACACCAATCCCTCAGTTCCTGTTTGTTCCCACCAGTGGAGCAGAACCTGCAGGCAGCAGGGCAGGAACATGGCTGCAGAACCCAAAGCTGATGTTCTGGGTGGAACTGGCTTATAACTCTACATTACTTATTACATACACTAAAAAAAAAAAAAAAAAAAACACTATTACAGGTGGGGTTTATTTTTTACTAGTTTGAAGCATGCTAAACTAATGTTTTATTTATTGCATACGTACTTGCTCTTACTATATAACAAGCATGGTTCTAAGCACTTTACACATATTAACTGATTTTTAAATTTTATTTTTTTTTTGACAAAGTCCTTATTATGTTGTTCACACTAACTTTGAACTTGCTAATACAGCCGAGGCTGACCTAGAACTCAAGCCCTGCCTCAGCCCCCTAAGTGCAGAAATTACCAATGTACATATTAACGATCTAACCCTCACATTCCAGTTGTCCCCCGCTCTTGATGGTGGGAAATAAGCTTCCAGATCCATAGTGAATGCCTGAAGCCATGGATCCTCCTAAACTCCCATATTCTGTGTTGCCCTATATGCACACACTTATAAGGCATAATGTTTATAACCGAGCCACAGAAGAGACTGGCATGGAAACGCTAAACACAGAGGTGACACACTCATGGGTGGAGGAGAAGGGGACAGCACAGGGCTTCACGGTGCTGCCCAGACACCCATAATTCCTAGAATTCTCCACTTACTATTTTTGGACCAAGTCTGGCTGAAGGTAACCATGGACAAGGGGCCTACCGTCACTCCTATCATTTCCACTTTACAGTGAAGGGAATTGAAGCTAAACAACTTGCCCGAGACTATACAGTTAGTGAGTCAGGAGTCAAATCCACATTCTCTGGCTTGGATAGCTCTGCGCTTTTAACCACTCTGCTCTTGCTTTGTCCTTTTTTCAAAGCTAGGTGGTGACACTGGCAAGAAATAAACTGAAGGGGCTGGAGATTTAGCTCAGCGGCAAGAAGTTCGATCCCCGGTACCGATTAAAAAAAAAAGAAACTGAAGAATCATAAAATGTTTTAAGTTATAGAACAGTACATTATTATCTGATTCATTCTTTCCCCTCTTTACTAATTAATCCAACTCCAGCCCGACCCTCGAGTGAAAGCTGCAGGACCTGCACTCTTGTGGGGAGTGAGGGATGGACAGACTTGGTGGTGCTGAGCAGCCAGCCTAGGGCCTCGCACACGCCAGGTGAGTGCTGCACCTGGGTTACAGCCTCAGCCACACCATTTTCAACAGCACCAGCTCTCCAAAGGCCAAGCTTGACTAAAACATTTAACTCCTCTGAGAATGGAAAGAGAGTGAAAGACTTGATTCACAAAAAATTTTTTAAACCAATTTAACTGACACAGTTTAACTTCTAAATACCTGTAGGTGTCGTCTGGATATGTTCTGGTTATGTAATCTTGGAATTCCACGTAAGCCTTTTCCTGAAATTTTTCAATCTGTTCCATATTTTCAAGGCCTGGATGATCTGAAACATTAAAGCACATACTGTTACCCTAGTTTTGAATGCTCATTTAATGACATGGAAAGTGGACATGAGAAAATGGGAGAAACAGTTCTGTTAAAAAGCTCCTGCCTGGTCTAAAAAGCACTGGCATGCCTGGAATGCCAGTGCCGAGGCAGGAGGATCGCCACAGGTTCAAGTCCAGTCTGAACTATGAAGAGAGAACCTAGCTGAAAAATCAACACTTCCCCCACCCTCAAGGAAGCTTTTAGATGGGTATAGTGGCAACACCTGTAATGTCAGCATTCTGGAAGGTTGAGGCAGAAAGATCTTGAGTTCAAGCCCAACCTGAGCAATTTAGCAAGATTCTATCTCAAAATTAGGAAATAAAATGTGTAGTTCTATCATTTCACAAATGTTAATTAAGCTACCTACTATATGTCAAGATCTGTACTTCAAAAACTTGGAATTACTTTATCTCACACACATTCTAAATCCAATTAAAAAAATAAGACTCAAGGTATTACAAAGTGGTTTTCTCTCCATTCCAAAAGTGGTAGAATTTTGATAACTTTTTATACTAATTTTTGGCAGTACTGGGAACTGAACTCAAGCCCTCTGATCAAACTACATTCCCCGGCCTGTTTTAATGTTTTATTTTGTGACAGTCTCACTACGTCACTAAATTGTATGAGCTGGGCTTGAAGGTGTAATCTTGCTGTCTCAGACCCCCCAGTGTTGAGATTACAGGTGAGTACCACTGTGCCTGGTAAAAAAAAAGTCCCCCCTCCTACTTTCCTCTTTCTTTCCCTTTCTCCCATCCCCCCCCCCCTTTGTTTTTAATGGTACTAGGCATTAAACCTTGAGCCTTCAGGAGGAGCTACATTCCCAGCTATTATGTGAAACAGGCTCTCACTAAATTGCTCAGGCTGGCCTCAAATGGACAGGGTGCTGCAATCCCAGACACTATTGCCTGACATCATGGAAGTATTTACTGTTTTCAGTATTTCTTCTTCTGAGATAAGGTCTCACTGTCTAGCTCACTTTGGCTGTGAACTAACTATGTAATTAATCCATGCTGGCCTTGAACTTGTGGTACTCATTCTGCCTCAGTGTCCCCAATGGTACGATTACAGGTGTGCACCACTAAGCCCGGCCTTAGAGATTCCTTTGATACCAGGAATCAAGCTCAGGGCGTTGTGCCTACTAGGCAGACATTGTGCCGCTGAGCTACATCCCTAGCCCCATAGAAGTATTTTCAATCTTCTATGATTAAAAACAGAACATTTGAAAATGGTAATCTATACCATACTTTTACAAGGAAAATACACTGCTATAGTTAAATAAAAACATATTCCTGAAACTAGTGAACTTGAATATCGTGACCTTTACCAAAAAATCACAACACAAAAATAAAAATTTATATAAGCATTTCAGTGTCACTATAACATTTCAGAACAGTAGGAGTATTAGGAGTTTATAATCCCTATGCCTAATGTTTCAATTCTCATCTAAGGAAAATGAAGCCACAAACTGCTTGTGATGAAATGGAGACTCTGGACACCACCTGCAACCCCAGCTACCAGGGAGGCTGAGGCAGGGCTGCTGGGTGTGAGGCCAGCCTGGCTACCTGGTGAGAACTTGTTTTAAAGTTTAAAAGGTAGGGGATGGCTTCCTAGGTTCAAGCCCCAGTACTGGAATGGTAGAGACCTTGGGAGCATATGCAAAACCAAGCAGCATAAACAGCTTAAAGGATGAGAGAAGAGACCTGTGTTAACAACTCATGGGGACACAGAGGAACCAGCACAGGGGAGCTTTAACTGTCTCACTGGCATCTGAGGACAAGCAGTTGAAATCACACAGAACCTAAGAGAATGCTGCATGTCTCTGGTTCAGAGCGTGATCATGGAGCCTTTACTTTTCTCACTATCTGTGAAAACCAGAGTGGCAGGAATGCAACAAACTGTTTTTCTATTTATGGAGGCTCTACTAAGCTGCTGAAGAACTGAACTCCGCAGCGCAGCTATAATGCTCTTATTCTGGCACTTGATAAAAACCACACCTAACTCTGAAACACTGAAGTGACAATGGAAATACAAGTCTACAATGTTATTTCACTGATTTTTAGGCCTTTTTCATACAAAGATGTTGTCATTCTTAATCTAAAGCACATAACTTGATGACTTCTAGCATATATACAGAGTTGTACAACTACCACCACCAAACTCACTTTAGAATATTTCTATCAGTTGGAGGAACCCTGTCCCGACCAGGGACACCCCATGGCTCTTCCCCTGAGATCCTAGCAAGCACTCGTCCACTCTCTGGGTCTCTCGGCCACTGCTTCATTTCATATGAATGGAATCAATCGTGCTCCTCTGTGACTGTCTCCTTTCACTTGGCATAATGTTTCTAAGCTCTGTCATCTTATGGCCTCGACCCCAGCTGAACGGTTTCCCACAGTAGGTACATTATTACATCTCTACTCACTTGTCAAGACTGTTTAGGTTGTTTCCATATTTTGGCTAACATGAATTACACTACCCCGAACATCCAGGATCATTTTGTGTAGACACCCACTTTCAATTCTCTTGGGCTGATGGGAACAGGACTGCTGGGACATGTGGTAACTTTACAAGCTGAAGAACTACTAAACTCTTCCCCAGAACAAACACACCACTTTGTTGTTGTTTCTGAGGGACAGGATTTCATTATGTAAGTCAGGCTGGCCTTGAACTCTTGGCTGTCCTGCCTCAGCCTTTTGGAGGCTGGGATTACAGGAGTCCACCACCACGCCCAGTTCAAATGTACCAATATTCCTACCAGGAATGGATGAGAATCCTGATTTCTCTAAATACTTAACACTGTGCTTCAATTAAGAAATAAATGTATATGTATATACTGCCAGGTGTAGTGGTCTCATACCCGACAGCCCACCCTACGTGTGGATTTTTATTTTCATTTTATTTCCCTTTTTACTCAGCCCAAATTTGCACTACAGAGTTCATTTTCCCTTGCCCTTCTCATTAAATGTGAAATTTTGCCACCATTAAAAGAAGGAGGAAGAGGAGGAGGAGGAGGAGGAAGAAGAGGAGGAAGAGGAGGAAGAGGAGGAGGAAGAAAAGTAGTAGTAGTAGCAGCAGCAGCAGCAGCAGCAGCAACAGTCATAGCAGTAAATATCTGTACCTGGACTGAAGAGCACTATCGCCTTCAGGTAAGCATATTCGTACCCGTCAATGCACAGCTTAACCATGCTGTTACAGAACTCCTGCAGCTTGAAGATGTGCTCCATCAACAGTTTTCTCCTTTCCGGTGACATTTTATCTTGAATTAAAAAACAAACAAATGATTTTAGTTTTCATCTAAAGTGTGTGACTATTTTCATCCAATATATTTTCTTCTCACTAGTTTTCAACGTTGAATTTATTCAATTTATAAATGCTTAGAATTCAGAATCTCTTCAGTTACAGTTGAAACTAATAATCTTTAGATATTCATTCAACAAAAAGTCAGTACAGAAAACTGTAAAGGTAATATTTCCTTTCAAGGTATGCCTTTGAGAAGATAAAATATAAGACAACCATCTGAAAAACTGACCAACCAATGTACAAATGACTCAAATTCTGGTAAAAGAATTTATTTCTTTAATAAATTAACTTTATTTCTTTAATAAACTTTAAATAAGTTTAAAGTTATATTGCTTGGAAATAAATCTTCACTTTTAAAAATGATACCACTATAACCAAAACAAGTGTTTAGCAAAACAAAAAACTCAAAAAACAAAGCATTGCCAGATCAAAGAAAAACTGAGGTGGGGCTGAGTGGTGCAGGGCTGTATCCCAGTACTCAGGAGGCCGAGGCACAGGACTGCTGGGACTTCAAGGCCTGCCTGAGCCTGGATTGCCCAGTGAAACACCATGTCAAAAAGAACAAACAACAACAAAGAAAGTATAGCTGAGAAGAAAGTTCTGCAGACATATTCTTGTTTGCAGTGGTGAGACAAGTAAAAAGACCTCTATTAACCATTAGTCAACTACAGCTTTCCTGAAATTGGGCTACAAAACAACTTGTAAGAAGATGAAAAATGCATTAGGACTGTAAGTTCATAAATGAGGAATATCAGGGGAGTGTGGTGCCACCCTTCACTAGATCTTCTAATTTAAGTCTCTGCTCCTAAATATAAGCAGCAGCAGATGATTTAAAAATAATGAAAACAGCCAGGCTTGGAAGCTATGCTTGCAACACCAGCTACCTTAGGATCGTAAACTCAAGGCCAGCCTGGGTGACTACAAAGGTCCTATCTCCAAACAAAAAATTTTAAAAAAAAGTTGGAGATGTAGTTCAATGGCAAAGTGCCTCTGGGATCTACTCTCGGGTACTGTGAAAACTAAACAAACAAAAATACCCCCGAAGAAATGCAGTGTGTTAAGGAACTAAAAAGTAGTCCATAGTTATAAAATACTCCTGAGCTCAAAAGACAGGAAAAGGTAAGCTCTTCTAAACCAGTGACCGCCTGTTTCCTTAAATGACAGAGCTGTCATCATTGCGGCTTCCAGGAAAGGAAAAAGACCGAAGACTGTTGATGACCATGGTTCTGTTTAGCCAAGAGACAACACAGCCTGGATTTCCTGGGATGCGAAGGGCTGTAATAAAGAAAGCAGCTGCACAGGTGGCGAGAAGCACACATCTACAATATCTCATCATCTCTGTGTAAGGTCGCCTTGGATTCTCAGTTCCTGTACCAAAGTACCTCAACAGAGATCACCCAAGACAGGCTCTGGCCAGGCCCGTCCCTGCTCAAGGGCGCAGTGGTGTCTCCCTGCAATGCAGTGGGACTGGGGGGTGAGGCTGTTAACAGGACTCATGGCTTTCTGGTGACACTCGGTTCACCTTCTCGGGAGAGCAGCTGTTACACAAGCAAGCCTGGCTTTCTCAGTATTCCTGCTCCTTTCTCCTCCACTCTCTTCTGCAGGTACTTTGCCACTGGCGGGCCCTAATCAGAGGCTGAGCAGGTCCCAGTGCCAGACCATTCTACTTCCTGAACCATGAGCCAAAGAAAATTCTTTCATTAGCAACAACCCAGTGCCAGGTGTTCTGTTTTAGCAAGAGAAAACTAAGCCTGCCAGACTCAAATATACTACTTCCAATTTTGTTGCATATTCACTCAAAAATATTTTTTGGGTTATTCACAGATTTATCAAAATATAAAAATTGAAGTAAAACAGAGCATTGGTACATAAACAAAATCATAAGGACATGTAATTGATCAGAACATTTTATAAAGCAGAGACCTCCTCCTACACCCTGGAAGACCGGTAAGGAGTTACTTTTTACCTTGTTGCAGGCTGCTGTGGAGACAGTTGACAAAGGTTGCTAATATGGTTGCTACATTCATCACTTGCCAGCACTGGGCAAGGCCAAGAGTAAAGAGTTCGTTCCAGTAAGCTTTCACCAATGATATGCTGTTTTCTTGCCTATTAAAAATAAACACATAGCATAAACGAGGAGTGAGGTAAACTTTGTAACTGATCTATGCACTTAAAAGTACAGTATTACTGAAGTAAAAGTACTCTAGGAAGACTAAATGGGCATGGACTCAATCAATTCTGTTTGGTACAGCTGCCAGCAATTGATGAGGAGGGCTCATGAACCTAAATACTAACCAGTTCTTTTGTGGGGTGTGGGGGTGGGTGGGAGTGGGGGTGTAATCAAGGTTGAACTCGGAAACCTTGTGCTTGCCAGGCAGGTGCTTGTGTCACTGAACTAAATTCCTTGCAAAGTACTAGGGTTTTTTTGTTTTGAAAAACTTTTTGTAACGTTCTTTTGCTCTATTTTTTTTTTTTTAAAGAAAAGAACTATTAGGATTATTTGGCAGTAGGTAAGCAATCAATATAGTGGGAGAAATGGTTCATTCTATAATCAGGCCAAAAGCTCTTTCCTGAACTGCTGGATAATAAAAATCCAGCAGTTTAAGAAAACAGAATAACAGGCTTCCCAGCTCTCATGTTGCATAACTATATAAGATGAAGACACTAAATAAGCTTTACTTTGCTTAACATTACTGAGGTGTATCTGGAATCCAAAAAGTAGACCTTTTGTTTGCTTTATTTATATACTTATTACTTTTGGTATTGGGGGTCAAACCCTAACCCTCGCATTTGCCAGGCAGGTGCCTGTGCTGCTGAGCTAAACCCCCAGACTTTGTTTGCTTCATTGAGACAGGGTCTTATTACACAGCCCAGGCTGCCCTTGAACTCACAGCAATCCTTCTGCCTCAGCCTCCCAAGAGCTGGGATTATAGGCATGTGCCATCACACTGGGCTGCAACAATTGGGCCTAAAGTAGAGAGCAGAAGTGCAGTTCCCAGAGCCTGAGGGTTTGAGCAGTGGAAGACGAAGACAGAGCATTTAATGGGCACCAGGGTGCAGCTGGAGAGGCGAAACTGCTTGTGTTCTGCAACAGAGCAGGGTATTCAATGGACAATCATTATTTCAAAGCAGCTAGTAGAAAGAGTTCTGGTAAGCTCTTTCAGAGGCTTGCTCTGCGATCTGTGGAGCGTGTTTCCTTTCCTGCTTTAGTACTTTCAATAAATGTCTAATCTTTCTACCTTAAAAAAAAAAAAGGAGGTTCTGAATGTTTCTAAGACACAGAGATGATATGTATCTGAGCGCGCAGACAGGCTAACTAGCCTTCTCTCGTCATTGTACATTGTATGCACCCCAAGTATGTACAATCAGGGGCTGGGGGTTTAGCTCAACGGCATAAGCGCCTGCCTGGAAAGCAGGCAGTCGTGAGTTCAATCCCTGGTACCGATGAAAAAGACAAAAAAAAAAAAGTATGTACAATCACTATGAAGAGTATATTGAGTCGGGCGTGTGGTGCACACCTGTAATCCCAGCACTTGGGAAGCTGTGGCAGGAGACACGCTGCAAATTAGAGGTCAGCCTGGAATATTTAGTTAGAGGCCAGTCTGAACTACGTGGCAAGATGCCATCGCAAAAAAAGAAAAAAATTACCCAAACATGCAAAGCCATATGACCAACCCTCGCGGAGGCACTGGGGAAATAGCAATTAACATGAAGGATTAAGGGCTGGGGGTTTAGCTCATCGGCGTTAAGTTCCTGCTAGGCAAATTCAAGGTTATGAGTTCAATCCTTGGTACCAAAAAAAAAAAAAAAAAAAAGGAGGGACTAAGTCTGCTTATGAAAAAGAAAGAAAACTTACCAACTGTATACATGTAATTATATGTTAAGTTTCAGGTAATAAAAATTCGACATTGCTGCAAAGTGGGGGGAGATAAAAAAAACAGGGAGGTTCAGATGAAGTGATTAGAGATGGCCATTTGCAGCTCGAGGAGAGGCCAGTGAGGCAGTGACATCTGAGCCATTTGAGCAAGAAATGATGGAAAGGAATTTTAAAAAGCTCTAGGCAGGCAGCATTGAAGGAGGAAGAATACAGCAAACTTGCTAAAGGGAGAATGTGTGTGGACCAGGTGTGAAAGCGTTCTGGGTGGACTATGAAATCTTTTCCCACTGATTCAGAACACCCCTTCCCTGCTGGTTTGCCTAGGTAATAAATCTGTCCCTCCCTTCAGGGAAGCTCAGCTTCTCTCACACTGACCCTTTCCACTGCCGCTGCGGCGCTGCCTGGACATCTGTATTTTCCGTCTATCACAGGGCGTCTGAATTGATCATCTGGGATCTGCTCCCACATAGGCCAGCTCCTCATGCGAGGCAAAGCTCCTCACGCACATAATCATGTCAGGGCCTGGCCCAGCGCACAGCCTAGGGAAGGAGCTCAGCACCACCTTCCAACCTGGAGAGCCGGAGCAGGCAGAAGACGGTGCGCAGGACAGGGGCTGCTGGTCTTAGGCCAGATCTGTGCCCGTACTCAGACAACCAAGGATGACTTCTCCCCTTTCTCCAACATGCACATACTAATAAATGATACTTAAATTTTTTTTCCTCCAGCACTGCGGAATGAACCCAGGGCCTTCATACTGAACCATCCCGAACCTTTTCTGTGAAGTTTTTTTTTAATAATTTTGAGTCTCAAAACTTAGCTAAGTCACTAAAAATTGCCCACAAAAGGCTCAAACTGGCCTCCCAGAGCACTGGAAACATAGATGTGTACCACCATGACTGGCCATATTTTTCCTGCTTGTTATGCCTTTAAAATCAGCATGATCAGTGTGTTTTACAGAAATCATTCAGTAAGAACCTTTATGATATTACATTTTATTAAAGAACAGAATGACTTCATACAAAGACCAATATAACATTTCAATTTAAGAATGACAAGGTAACTTTTCTCACTTGGAATTATTCAGGTGAGATTTTAACTTCACGATGTTCTTTTTTCGTTTGAGAAATGTTACTTGCCACAAAAAACCAGGTGTTAAACTTGAAAGTAAAGCTTAAGTACAAAGAAAACCAGAATTTTTAAATCTCCATATAGAAAGTGGTTAAAAATTCAAACTCAGGTAAACAAAATAAAAGAAAAATAACAAGACACTATTTTTAATTTATCAGAAAAGAAGATAAAGTCCACAGTGAAGGTGTGAAGAAATATGCATACACATCTCTAGGTGAGACAGCCTGATGAACTTTCCATAAGACAACTGGGCAATACCTAGCAACAATACTGCCCAAAAGCAGAAATATGGTTTAGCCTAGAAATTCCCCTTGTAAGATTTTATAGAAATGAATTCAGTAGCCAAAATGTGCACTGTAGTGTTGGATATAATAACAAAGCTGGCAACAACTCAAATATCTATTGATAAGGCATAGGTAAATAGTAATAGACCCGTAAGATGGAATAGTGGGCATCCATTAGAAAAAAAATGAGGCTGCCATGGTGGTGCATGCTTGTATCCTAGCGCTCACACACTGAGTGGATCGCAAAAATCCATGCCCAGCCTGTGCAACTTAAGGAGACCTGTCTCCAAAAACAAAAACAAGGCCAAGGATTTAGCTCAATGGTGTAGGTGACTGTACAAAGTCATGAATTCGATCCCTGGTACCGGGGAAAAAAAAAAGCCAAAAAACAAAAAGCAAACTAAGATAAACTATCTTACATCTGCTGATACAAAAATTACTTCCTAAAACCTATATAAAAATATAAAAAGACAAAGAAAAAGACGTTTAGATGTGTCTTAATAGTTTAATGAATATGGCATGGAAAAAATCTAATAAAATACCAAACTGTTTAACCTGAGGTTAGTTACTCTAGAAAATGAGGTTTTACTTTGTAGTTCTACACTACAAAATGAAGAAAGACAAAAGCAAATCAGTTTTCATTTTAACTTCTATTTCTGATGCTTTACACAGTAAACAGCTAACCAAGCTAATTAAGCAGTGAACACAGGAAAAAAAAAAATAACAGAAACCAGAGTGATGGCGAGCGCGTGCCAGCACAGGGGACAGGAAGCACTGCCAGGGCTTAGGGACCAAAGCGGCAACCAAGGAATACATAAGCTATGGATCCAGAGGAAATGCTAAGACACTAACAGTAGAAATCAATTACCCAATGGCAGCTCCCTACACTCCCTACTAGACAAACAAAACCCTCACACCATGTAGAAGTAGCTATGCTGATTCCATGCTTTTTGTTGATGCAATATTTTTTTCAAAAGTTTATTACATTAGGAGAAAAGAGGAAGTCCTTTTAAAAAGAAAGATACTAACAGGATGAAGCAGCATGAAGGAAAATAACCATCATGTATTCCTTGGTGCGCGGTGCGGGGGTAAATGCACACTATGCCCTCCCACAAGGGCACAGCTCCCAAGCAGGGTTTTCTGCCCCTACTCTGCAGACAGGGAACTCAGCCTCATTTGAGTCACAGGCCCAAAGATACAAAATCAGTAGGTGAAGAAAGCCAAAATTTGAACCCATCTATCCTTTTATGATCCTTATATCATCTAGAAAGTAAAATGCTGGCTGGGGATTTAGCTCAGCAGTGTAAGCGCCTGCCTAGCAAGCATGTGGTTTTAAGTTCAATCCCCAGTGCCAAAAAAGAAACTGAAACGGTGGATGCGAGGGGCACATGTGCTCTCAGTTGCTTTCCTCTTAGGGAAACTAAGCCAATGATGATACGTATTTCTGTTGTTACCGTTGCTGGAATGGAGCCTAGACCCTTGTGCATGCTAGGCAAGTGCTCCATATTCCCGAGCCCTACGAATGACCTGTTCAGGGACAAGAAATACCAAGTTCAGGCTGCAGTTAAAGGCTGTAGTTGCCAGCTCTGTAATTATTGTAATCCCAGACTCCAACCAACTTCCAACAGAGCCCACAGGGAAGAGTGACTATCCCCTAGCCAGGAAGCTTAGGCACTTTTGCTGGTTTCCTCAACATCTGCAGGACTTACATAGCACAGGATAATCACATCCAACAGAAGTATTTAGGGTCATGGTGTTAATGGCCATCTGAACTCAAGGAATTCAAATTGTACCTCAAATTCCTTTCATCTGTTGTTTCACTATAATAATTGATAATCCATTATAAAAAAAAAAATCGCCAGTTTGCTTTTTTGACCAGGTATACTAGACAAACTTAGTTAACTATACTTCATGCTTTTAAAGTAGCAAAAATGCTAACATGTAAAATTTCACATTGTATTTTACTTTTCCTTAAAAAAATCAGACATGGTGGCACACGCCTGTAATCCTAGCATTTGGGAGGCTAAGGCAGGAAGACTCCTCTAAGAGTTCAAGGCCAGCCTGGGCTACCCAGTGAGTTCAAGACCAGCCTGAACTATATATTAATAAGACCCTGTCTCAACCAAAACAAAACAGAACACACCTCTCAAAAAAAAAAAAAGAAAGAAAGAGAAGAAAACTGGAGAAATTTTTAAAGTTGAATGTTATTTTGATTGAAAAAAGAATGCGTGTTTGAAAGATTAACCACTGTGAATCAGACTTGTAGTCTATGGAACTGCATATTCAGAATGTGACTTAATGTGACTAGTGACCACATCATAACATTAAATGTCTTCAACATCATGATTCAGATGTTATTTATATGTAAAATATCCTCTAAGGACTTGGATAAGTACTGATTTTCACTGGATAAATGAGAAAATTGTTCTCTAGGTTATGAAAGTGAATTACTTATAAAATCAGTCTTGAGTAAGGTCTTTGGAATAGAATGAAATTATGGGCTCCAATTTTTCCTCTGTCTCACTTTTTTGTATCCTAGTTTAGTGATGGTGAATGTTGTAAGAGCACGGGCCCACACTACAACCCAAACTCATTCAGTTATCACACAGTGCTAACACTGCAATGAAACCTGAATACCCAAACAAGACACACAGTAACATCTTTTGACCTAAAAGAAAAACACAGGGCTGGGGATTATTTAGATTTACTCAGAGGCATAAATGCCTCCCTGGCAAGTGTGAAGTTATAAATTCAATCCTTGGTACAAAAAAACAAAACACAACACAACACACATGCCACAGGTTCACCACCACCATACTAGTTACTTTAAGGCAATTTAAGTATGTTTGATGAAACACTGATATAACTTGGATTGCTTATAGCACACCATGTGCCAGTTCACTTGATTTCAGAACAGAACATAGACTGTTCTTTAGGGGTAACCCTAAATCTCTCACAGGGATAGTATAGGGGTTTTACATTTCTTTTTACTTTCTTTTTGTGTGTATGTGTTGGGGGGCATTGAGGCAGGCTCTCAAGATATAGCTCAGGAAGACTGGCTGTGAACTCAGGGCAATCCTCCTGCCGCAGTCCTCTAAATGCTGTGATACAGGTGCGTGCACCTTCATTCCCAGTGTAGGTTTACGTTTTCCTCTTTTTTAAGAAAGGCAACCATGTGAATGGAAAACAATGACATCTGTTTTTAAACCTAACTGCTGTGAATTCAGAGCCTTTGTAACACATCTGGATGGGAATTCAGAGGGCGTGGAAGGAGAATATAACTAGACACGCCTCCAGCTTTCTGTGCCTGCCTGGGCCGAGACAGCTCTTACCAGTATTGGGCACAAGCAACTCACTCAGTTAGATGCCAGCCAAATCATGACGTGTCCATCCTCCAACACACTAAATTAATATGTAGAAAATAGTACTTAGCTGCTCCAATTTGTCATATAAACGATACAACGTAAAGTTAAAAATATACATTTTTTTCCCTCCTTTAATGAAACTCTCCCAAAATAAAATTTCTTGCTTAATGTACATTTGCTACAAAGTCACATTTACATTCAAGGACTTAAGAACACTCACCCTAGCGCCTGGAAAGAAGGGATGGAAAGTGCCCAGTGCATTGATAGGAACAGCAGCCTGGAGGCAGACTCCCCAATGTAGTGCACATTCAGGTACTCGGGCGTAGGAGAAGGCATGGTGAGCTAGTGTGAACAGGGATGCCGGTAAATCATCTTGTGACTTCATGCTCTAAGTTAGCAATTCTTTGAAAAAGTTGAATGTAAACATAACACATCAAATGAGTCTAGTACATTCACAAAAAGAGGCTAATCTTGAAATAATCCAAGCACCTGATTTTTACAGCTAACTGGGCTTAGAATAAATGAGACAACAATATTCAGAGAAGCAAAATTTCAATAAACATCAACAATGATATCCTGGTTTATTTTTAAAAATTACTTTCTACCTTGTGTTTTTGCTTCCTTCTTAACAATGATGCACAGCAAATTCAGTAAGGAGCAATCAGATATGCTAAAACTCCCTTCACTGAAGTAACAGGCTTAATGAATTTAAATGCTTGCAGGATTAAGGAGTAATGAATGAAACAGATTTATGGCTGCCAAATGGCAAGGGCACAGTCCCCAAAAACAGGGCCTGGCTGTGACTTGAATTTAGCACAATAAAACCATGGGAATTTTCATTCAGCACTGAATTCTCAGCACTCAATTTTTCAGGGTACGGCCTCTGCAAAATCTCTCTACTTAAAAAAAAATGATACTAAATTAAAAAGCAATTTAAAAACTATTCTGCACATAATACAAAATATGCCAGGAGACAAGCCACTCATGGGCTTGTACTGCTGACCTTGATGTGATTCTTTCAAATGTCTCACTACTGGTGCAAATAAATAACCTACCTCACAATATTTCTGAAACCATTTCGGAAAGTCTTGTTACACACAATTTTTATTGCCATAAACGAACTGTGTAAGAAATACTTTCTTTTTTATGAATGATGGGAATGATCCACAGCATATCTGTGGATATGGGGAGTCTGTACTCACTACTGTGAGTACTAGGCTGGAGGGCAATTTGAGTTCTACCAGACCTGGACACTTGGCACATTGAGTGCTACAACACGGGGTCAGCCCTCTAATTCAAAAGACTCGAAATCTGAAACACTTCGGGCACCAACACTTAAAATGTTTCAAATCTCAGAGAATTTCAGATTTTCAGATTTGGGATGTTCATTGGTAAAGTTTCCGTGACTATCCCAAATCAGAAAAAACTAAAATTAGAAACACTTCCAAGTATTTCACACATGGACCCCTAAACTTGTAAACCACTTCTAAACCTCTACTCCAGAAAAACACTTGCACTCACACAGAAAGCACACACAAGTGCCCACTCCAGCTCTGTTTAACACAATGAACGCTGTGTGAACACTGGCAACGACCCAAGCTGTCATCACCAGGAAAGAATACTCTGTGCTGACTGCCTTGGCGATGCTCATGAGTACGTGTATGGGCACACGCAGGTGCGTGCACAGAATGCATGGAAGGGAACATACCGCACACTGGTTACCTGGGGCCGGGCAGGGCGGGGAACATGTATTTTGGAAACATACACAGCTTCCACCAGATTCTCAAAGGTGTCTATGACACCAAAAAGAGCAAACTTTTTATCAAAATGGTAAGTTCTCTAGAAATGTTAAAGAAAATGTAAAAAACATTAGCTGACTTTGTTCAGTGTGAGTCACAAATGTTTTAATGACTTATTAATGGTGCCTCAGAGTAAAACAACAGAGCAGTTAAGGGTTAAAGTCTCATTTAATAATAAGAAAAAACTTATGTGTAGTGGGGAACAAACATAGCACCTTGTGTGTGCCAAGCATGCGCTCACCACTGAGGAAGAAAATTTATCACATGTTCGAGAAATGTTTACTAGAGCAGTAAAATAAACAGAACATAATCCTGAAGGAAATGAAGCAATTATTAAATATTTTAAGTATATTAAAAAACTAAAAACTGTCATACCTTCTTAGAATTGCCCCAGGTGTACAGTGGGGAAAAGTGTCTAAAAATTTAGAGTAATTACAGCAAAAATACTAGTTTTATGGAAGAGGAATAAATAAAATGAAAAACAACAACAAAAAATGCCCTCTACTGCTGAGCATGGTAGCTGTGACCCCAGGACTAGGGAGGCTGAGGCAGAAGGATCATCCCGAGCTGGACGCCAACCTGGTCATATAGTGAGTTCAAGGCCAGTCTGAACTACATAGCAAGATCCTGTCTCAGGAAGAGAGGGTGGGGGAGAGGAAGAGAGAGGGAGAGAGAGAGAAGGAGAGAGAATATCCTTTACACGTTAGCTATAAATAATGAATTACTTGCAATTCTGTGAGTTAATCTTGAATATACTGTTTTTTACACAACAATGGTGTTCAATGACAACTTTCCATTGCCTTACTTATAAGAGTGAAATCATCAGCAATGTACACTAAGAGAACTCTTCTACCATATTATTTTACTTTAGAGAAGGAATGTTTCATGATTTACATTTTATATACTTTATAAGCCTCTAGCATTATAATAAATCAGAAAGTTAATCTGGCTGAACAAAATTAGTGCATTTAGCAAGTCTTGTAACTGCAAAATCGTAATTCTTTACTTATGCATACATGGAAGATGAGTTTCTACTACAAGATGTTAAAGCTACTCAAGAATACCTAGAGATCATCAGGCTTATAAACTAATTTTTGCATATTTAAAAAATTATAAAAATATTTAATAAATTGAGCTATTTTAAAGAATACTGAAAAGACCTAAGCCTGATCAATCTGTTTTAGAACATGCCTTTTTGATTAGCTACTTTTACAGTTACCTTTCTAGCAGTTTCTGTACAGCATTCTGTTAACAGTCTGTACAATATAGCTTTCAGAAAACCATCTGACTTGAGTTAGCATGTCTGGGTTCTGCTACTTATAACTTTTCATTATTTGTATGGCACTAAATCATTTGCTTAATAACCATTTAAATATACGTGCTGCTGTCTTAATGGAGACACAGAACGAAAATGGAACCAGCTACGGAAGAGGCTAAGAGGCCAAGCGTGCTGACTCACATCTGTAAGGAGACTAAGGTAGAAGGACCACAAGGTTGAAGCCAGTCTGAACTATGTAATGAGACCCTGTCTCAAAAACAGAAAAAAGAAAAACAAAAAGCGGCTAAGAAAGGGAACATGATGTATGGGAAGCAACATGCAGTTCGGTAAGACAGAGGCCCTGGCAAGTCACATTACAGAGATGGCGTAAGCACACATGGACAACAGGAAGGCTTTTATTAAATGTTTTAGCAGTGCTGGGGCCTGCACATGCGAGGCAAGTGCAATAGCCAAGTGACATAGTTAGAGTGATTTTTAACAAGTATCACACTGATAATAGTGAAGATGAATAGCAAGCGAAAATATTTCAACACTGCAAGCTAAAAATTTTAACAGGTCTAAAACATAACAATGGAAATAAAACTGAAATGGAGAAATTCAAGTAACAGAATGACTAAAAAGGGGGTGGGCAAGCATGGTGGCTCCCACCTGCAATTACTGCACTCAGGAGCTTGAGGCAGGACAATGGCAGCAAGCTCAAGGCCAGCCTGGGCTACACAGTAAGTTGAAGGCTTGCTTGAACTACAGTGAGACATTGTCTCACAAAATACTCGAAAGGAGAGGAGCAAGACATGGGGAGAATGAAGAGGACTCTCTAAGGCTGCAAATACAGGTAACTGAGAGGACTGGCAGCGTAATCCTGAGATGATAAACACAGAAGGACGGTTTTGGAAATCACTTCTTTTTTTTGCGACAGGGTCTCATGATGTAAACGAAGCAGGCCTTGACCTTGCAGCAATCCTAACTCAGCCTCCCCAGTGCTGTTGTGCTGCCGAGGCCAGTGGGAAATCACCTCATTTCTGTGTCACATACTTATTCATAAAATGGGAGGACTCTCTATCTTGATTACATTTATAAAACTGTAAGAATCAAGAGAAACAGGTAAAATTCTTTTAATAAAAATGTTAAATACTGTTCTAGATCTTCACAATTCTAGCTTCATTATTAGATTATTTCTCCTTACAACCTAGAGTTGTCCTGAAGACACTGAGAATCTTTCTTCACCTACCAAATGCAAATAAAAATTTTAACCTCTCCAAGAGAATGTGTTAAGCTTCAAGTGAAAGAATGTATGTAAAAATAGTCAGCAAACTCTATTACACACAAAAATGCAAGAGAAGAACAACGCTATTCAGCTCAGCAATAGGGAGAGGGGCTGAGCTGCGTGACTGTAGATGTCAGGCCTTGGAAAGGATGATCAAAAACTGAGAAGAAACGCAGGGAGGCACCTACTGAGCACAGGAGCTAAGCAGGGAACTCACTGAGAAATACACCTCCTAAGAGCAGGACTGTAAAAGAAAGATCGAAGAAGTCCTGTGCAGAGCCAACACTTCATAGCGCTCTCAGGACACCAAGAATTAAGAAGCAACAGAAGGATTGGGAAAAATTAAAATCCAGAAACAAAAACTGAAGTTCTAATTTGCTTAATTCAACTGTTCAAAAAACTTCGAGGAATCAAAATTCTGAGGAACAACATCTAAGATAAAAAAAATGAACAATTGTTTTCTAAACGAATCCTCTGGCCTTTTTCTGTGCCAGTGCACTTGTCTCATTTTATCCTTCCTCGTCTTTACACCCAAGGCAGAAAATAAAGAATAAGAAAACCAAAGAATACCTTTCCTTTGGAGAAAAACAAGGGAAAAATTCTTTTGCCTTGCAACATCCTTGTCTATAGATCCTACCATAATTTTTAGAGATGACATTGAGTCTCATTAACTTTTCACAGCACTCATAAAAATCTTTTTCTGTACCCAGCAAATAATTTCTTTTCTGCTTTTTCCTCCCCAGGGTTGGGGATCAAATATTCAGTCCCTGCACATGCTAGACAAATGCTCCACCACTGAATCATACATTCCTTACCCCAGACAGACAACACATTTCTGATTTCTTCAGGTAAATAATCTTTAGTAGTTTCACATGAAATCTGATTTCACTGATAATTGACTAAGTCAAATTACAGCAATTATTAAACCATGATAACTTTTGTCAGTGCCTATTCTATCAAGTTGACTGTTACAAATATAAATATGGTTATATGCAGTTTAATCAGTGATCAATGTACCTATCCTACCTACTACCTATCAGTACTGAAGACCAAACCCAGGCTTGTGCACTGAGTTATATCCCAAGCCTTTTTTCAGGGTCTCACTAAGCTGCCCCATCTGAGCTTGGAATTACGATCCTCTGCCCGGCTTTCTAGGATCCTGTGATTAGAGGCATATGCCACCATGTGCCTGGCTAATGTCACTTCTGTTTTATGTTTGTTAGTTCTACTGGCAAAATATGTATGTATATTTATGTATATGTTTATACATATGTATTTACTTGATAAGCTGTGCATTTCTGTATTAAGGAATCTTTGGAAACTTTATAGTAAAATTACAAAAAATGACCTTTTGTTCCAGAACAGCAGTTTTGCTAGGTGAAATCACATACATACATTCAATCACTCTGCTTGGTAACAGGACTCATAACTGGCACAGCAAAGGTGGTATTAGGAAAATGAAGGAAGTCAAAAAGTAGAGTCACAATGAAACACTATAAAGCAACGTTTTTGAGCAAGGCATGGTGGCACATGCCAGTAATCCTAGCACTTGGGAAGCTGAGGTAGGAGGATCGCCAGGAGTTCAAGGCCAGCTTGGGCTACATAGTGAAGATCAAGGCCAGTGTTACAGAGCAAGACCCTGTCTCAAAAAATGAAACAAAAAACACCCCCCCACAAAGTGATCTCTTTATATTCTTTTACATATATTGATGTATTATTATCCTTATAAAGAATATACTTAAGGAAAAAATAAATTATAAATGAACCTCCTTCAAAATGGTATAAGAACTGGAAGCAGGAGTCCTGTAGTCCCAGTACTTGGGAGGCTGAGCCAAGAGGATGGCTGAGAGAGTTTGAGGCCAGCCAGGGCTATTTAGTAAGTTCAGGGTCAGCCAGAACTACACAGTGAGACTCTGCCTCAAAAAAAAAAAAAAAAAGTTAAAAAAAAGTGTTAAAAACTAAAAGTTGAAACGTACTGATTTGTACTTGTACTGAAAGCTAATTAGGATGATATATAACGAGTGGAGTTCTCCGTAATTACTATAGTAAAGGTAAAGTATCTCTGCCGTAGGCACTAATTTACACTAAAGCAGCAGCAGCAGCTAGGCTCTAAACAAAAGCAGCGCACTCAACGCCTCAGGCAAGCCAAGGCTGCAGTGAATAAACCTCGCCAACAGTTCCGAAGCCACTCTTCAGAGCCAACCCCACGCACGGCTACTCCCACCGACTTGGAAAAGTGTGCTTCAGGCAGCCGTCATCTTCCACGCTAGAGGCGTGAGTCTTAGCTCCAGTCCTGATATGCTACCAGGGTCTATGGCCATACCACCCTGAACACGCCCGATATCGTCTGACATTCTACTAGGGACATTTCCGACTTCAGTAACATAAAAAAATGGATTCTGATGTTTGAAAGGCAGATTAAAATCAAGTAACATTACACAGAAGCTTTAGAAATGTACAGAAGTACCCTGAAGGCCACATGTGACTCGCTGAGAAGCGGCCCCTCTTTCTCCACGTAACTGGGGCTGGGCTCCCCCGCGGCCAGGGCTCCACCGCCTTCTGTGCCCTCCCCTGAGCTCTGCTCGCCGCTGCTCTCTCCGGGGTTCAGCGCTTTCGCGAGGGTGTCAAATGCCCTAGAAGGAGACATTGGAGGCTATGAATGTGGAAATTCTATACAAAGTCCTGAAATTAAAATTGAAAACTAAACAATTGTTTAGAAAATAGGGCGGGAGGGTTAGCCCACAGCAAAATACTTAAACAGCATGCGCGAGGTCCTGGGTTCAATCCCTGGCACCACAAAACAAATGAAGAGCCCATCCACAACTCCTTAGAAAGCATAACTGTGGTATCAGTGAGCACTGTCTCAGTGACTTCTTCTGGTCTCTCCAAAGTCAACAAATTAAACAACACATTACCAGAGAACTATAATGAGTTCAAGGCCAGCCTGTACTACATAGCGAGGCTCTGTCTCAAAAACCAAAATCTTACAAAATTAAGAGAAAGAAAAATTCTCATGCTTTACTTTACATACAGAAGTCAGTTGGAAGAATTAAGAATAAGCACTAATGCTGACAACTGTACTGAACACACGCAAAGTTGAGTCTTCATTTTATTTAAACATTCAGATAGCATTGTTTGGTGGCACAACTAAATGTAAACTGTAAGAATTTGAGATTAGGATAACTAACTAGTACTAACAAGTAACCATTCAAAGTAGCTCTGCATATTTTTTAATGGTGTCTCTGCCTTCTAGAATTTTGTAAAATCTTGTGTTTAGCACAGTGCTCACTGCAATTTATTCAACGTTTTTCCTTTCCTTGAGATGCTGCAGATCCAGCCCAGAGTATCCTACCTTTGTGCTCTACCTGAGTTCCACCTCAGGGCAGAATTCAGTATCTCAGGTCACAAATGAGTGAGGAAAGTCTCGAGAAATTCCTTAACCCCTCAACAGTCCACCCTAAGCATCACTGGGGCAGGTGTCAGTTCAGTCAACCAATTCTTATACTGCATGAATTTGATACAATTGTTTCCTGTTACATTATATTATCAAGTTAAAGAAAATTATGTGATTTTTGGCCATCTCGTAGTTAAATAATTGGACTGGTAAGTGATTAATATCCTAAGAATACTGACAAAGTGAAAAACAGCATTCCAGCAGTATTTTCTTTTCTTTTTTTTTTTGGTACCAGGGCTTGAACTCAGGACCTTGCACTTGCCAGGCAGACGCTAATGTCACTGAGCTAAACCCCTAGCCCCCAAAAGTATTTTAAGAGTAATCTAAAACTACAGTTTATTTTACTAGAGTATTTTTTTAATTTTCAGTAATAGAAATTAAGAGTGGAGTTTGTCAACGTGAGTTTCTGCCAAGAAAATATTTTTCTCTATTATACATAAGATAACATTTGGCAATTAAGATATTTAAAATGTCACCCAAATTATCACATAAGAGGGAAAAAAATTCCTTAAGAGAACATTTCTGGTTTTACAACGTTTATTTACTGCTTCTGCTATTTAAAATGTAACCTGCTGGATATAGTAGTTTATACTACATAGTCTTCTAGTAAAAGCTTACTATGCCTTAATTTTCAAATAAAACTTGTAATTAATAGCATTTCATACAAAAGTATCCCAATACAAACACTAAAGGACACATCAAAATAGACCTTACCTTGAGACATCACCACTGGTCTGCATTTCTTGATGACAGTCATTTAAAGGTGCGTCATCGTCATTCAAACTTTCCATCACAGACACGTCATTTCCATTCTGAGAAAGCTCTTTTGTCTTTCCAAGATTTGCTAATGATGTAACCACACTGGCCAAAGTACTTAAATCTCCCTGACATGATTCAGCCTTAAAAGAAAAAAGAAGTATTAAAATTCTGCAAATTGGTGTATTTTTTAAAAATTCAAAGTATTATGAAATGTAAAAAGAAAACTACACTAAAATAAAGTCAAATCCATGAGTTCTGTGACTTTAGGAACTTTCTGAGGAAAATCTAAATTTAAAAAAAAAATGGTGCCAGGCATGGTGGTTCAGGCCTGTAATCCTAGCACTCGGGAGGCTGAGGCAGGAGGATCATTCTGAGTTCGAGACCAGCCTGGGCTACAAAATGAGCTCAAGGCCAGCCTAAAGTGCATAGCAAGAACCTGTCTCAAAAATACAAAACAAACAAACAAAAAACCAAAACAGTGACAAGTACATTTCTTAAAAACTGTTTAAGGCTGTGGGCACAGCTCAGGGTCTGACACCCGCTCACCCAGCGAGTGTACAGGGCGCTGCCTTTGATCCTCAGTTGAATATATAAATCCCCCCAAACTGTATTTCATGGCTAACCAATTCATGTCATGGTTGCTTTTTCTATAAAAAGATACTAAGTCACATATCTTTTCATTTATATTCTTTTTGTTAATAATGCAAATCATGTGTCCTTTATGCACTAGCTGTACTTACTTTATAAACACAGTGTTTTGTAGCGGGCTTAGGAGAACACACTCTTGGGAGGCTGAGACAAGAAGATCGTGAGTCTGAGCCTTGCCTGGGCAACTCAGTGAGAGAATTTTCTCTTTAATTCCTTCTAGCATTTTTCCTTTCCCCTTTTGAGACAGACTCCCTATGTTGCCAAGGCTGGCCTTAACCTGGCCACTTTCCTGCCTCAGCCTCCCAAGAGTGCTGGGATCACAGGTGTGTGCCACTAGGTACATGAAAGGTAAATAAATGTCTGATCTTCAAGTCATCTATTTTTCAGAGCAATGAGGCAAAACATGTGCTGTTTCAACCCAGTTTTTTAATAGTTAACACATTCAAACCCTTGTAAGAGCAACTACCCCCAGCTAATACTGTTTTTAACCCTAAAACAACACATTTTCTTGATACTTTGTTGTTGAATCTTGAGTTTATGTAAAAGTGATTTTAGTGAGCAAACAGAAAAATACATTTGCTATGTCCTTCCTAAATTAACAGTCCCGGAATCACTTAAGGAACACCCCACCAGGCACTAAATTTCTGTGTGACCTCTACTTGAGCATTTTATTTCACGCTTGTAAGAACCCTGTCAGATACGAATCACCAGCCCTCACCATACGAATCGCCACACAGAACCATCGCACTCAGGACAGGAAACCAGGCCCGTGTGATGGCCAAGTCCACACGCTTGACCCGCTCCACAGGCGCCTTACCCTCGACTGGCAGTACAGTTTGCAAGTATTTTAACTTAAGACCAACATTTAGATGCTTATAAAGTCTTCCAAGAAGCAAACTGTCTACTAGAGCTTTCAGGTTTTGTCACTGCAGACTCAGGCAACATGCAGCAGCTTCGCTGTGTGCTGGGACCGTCTGGACCATTTGGCTACTTTTCTGGCACTGAGACTGAGGCCTGGGCCACAGACAAATAGAGCACACACTCTGGGCTGGCACTACAGCTGCCACACCTGTGTGAGGCCACATGTAAGAGAACCTAACACACAGGCCATCACCAGAGTCCAACTTGAGGACACATGCAACAGCGGAGTATAGGCAAACTCGGCTGCTCCAAAGAACCCGGCTCCCTTCCTCCTGCAGGCTGCCAGGACAGCGATCTCCACTCAAGCCTGAATCGTGGGGACAGGCCAGGTGCAGCTTTATAACTGCCAAGTCCTGGGCGGAGCTGAGCTGCGCACTAGTAATCACACGGCCGGCTGGTCTGTGTGGCAGAGGCCGATTATGCTCACGGTACAGAAGGTCAGAGGCCTGCCCGAGTGCAGGTGAGGTCTGCTTTCAGAGCCCAAGTACTGAGAGTGCCTTAAGGTATCAAGCAACAAATGTACGACAAACGTAAAACACAGAAACTATTACAGATATGCTCAGTGGTCACAGAAAGCAGACTGGAGGGTTGACCTGGGGGCCAGGGCGCAGGGGTTGATGCCATGGTGGGCTCTGGGTTTGACCCCACACATCACAAAAACAAAACAAAACACTCAACTCGACTAAACTAAACCCAGATCCTGTTACTGGTAGAGAAAGACCTTGACCATTGACTCCCTTGAATCTTACCAGGAAAACTTTTTGTTCCTTGTGCTCACAGTGGTTTTGGAGGTATACAGAAACTGGATTTCAATTTTTTTTTAAAAAACTCTTTTTTCCCTTTGGACCTGAATGTGTATTTGACAGCTTAGTTGTCTTAGGAACTCCTGACTTAAGTAAATGGGGGAGGGGATGCAAGTGTGTACAGGGTCTTGCAATGTAGCTCAAGCTGGCCCTGAACTCACAGCAATCTTTCTGCCTCTCTCTTGAGCACAGGGATTGCAGATGAGCACCACCGTGCCTGCTCTTCAAGGAAATGTTTGGACTGAGGTGTGCAAAGAACTTATTTTTACCTAAAATATTTTAATTATTTGGCACTAATATATCTGTAGTAGAAAATAAAAGGATGCTGGGAATTTTGCATCTATTCTTTTTCTGGTAACTTTTATTTTAGGATGAAAGAAATTCTAAATGTTTCTGGCTTTAATGGGGAAGCTATAATTCCCCAATAAAGTAACAGACATTTCTACCAAACAGCTGATGATTTATGGTTTTTTTTTTTTTTTTTTTTTGGTCTTTTTCATTTTTATCGGTACCGAGGATCGAACTCACAACCGTCTGCTTGCAAGGCAGGTGTTTACGCCACTGAACTAAATCCCCAGCCCCCGATAATTTATGTTTTAAAAAAACAACTTGTAATGAAAAATATTTAATATCAAATCATGTGGCGATGCATGCCTGTAATCCCAGCACTCAGGAAGCTGAGGCAGGAGGATCATTGCAAGTTCAGGACTAGCCTGGGCTACAAAGTGAGCTCAAGGCCAGCGTGAACTGCATAGCGAGACCCGTCTCATATAAAAGACAAAATTGGTTGATCAAAGTGATAGGAGAGATAAAGAAAATTTAAAGATTTTAAAGCTCAAAATTATTTTTTTGGTGTCTGAGATAGGGTCTCACCATGTAGTCCAGGCTACCTTTGACTACGTAGACCAGGTTGGACTCTACTTGTGGCACCCACCACTCTTGATTTGACCTCCTGAGAGCTGGGCTTGCAGATGTGTACCTCCACACCCATTCAGTAGCGTAAAGAAAACCTGTAGTTTTTGGAGCTACACTGGGGTACACTGTGTGCACACAGTGGGGTACACTGTGTGCTTAATATGCATGCATGAGCCCTGGACATGAGTCCAGCACCAAAATCCTAGAAACAGAACAAGTCTTTGAATGGCACTGAATATACCACACCTTCTCTGGAGCCACCAGCACAGCTGACTCGGCTTTTACCCCCGCCGGATGGATGTTCACAAACAGCCCCGGGTCCAGCAGCCCTGCTGACCTGTAACAGTGAGCACAGACCTCAGTTGCCCTGGATGAGAGGCAGGTGGTGGAGCCTCACTGTGCGCCACTGTGTCGCACAGTACCTTGCAGTTTCACTGTCCGTCACAAAGGTGGGCGTTGCAGCTAACGGACTTCGGAGGTCTTTGCGGATATAGATCTTCTCTGTTGAGGCAGCACAGTTGGAAGACTTCTCTCGTGACATTTCGATGGGTTTTCGTTCACATTGAACAGCTACAAAAATGTGTTCAACAGTTAAGGATACAGAATTTAGGGGCAACTATTATAAGTTAAGCTCTGGACCAGTACTGCTACTAATAGGAGCCACTGCTAACACACAGAATTCCAAAGATGATCATATCTTTAGAAATTATGTGTAAATTCAACAAAGCTGCTTCCTCTGTAAAAGTGGCCACGTTACTCTCTTATTCCCTGGTTTCTCCCACTCCCACAACTCCTGTGGTAGAAATGTAGAGAGACTGTCATGTTTTAAAAGCCCACTGTCAAGCCAAGCCTGATGGCATGCCCCCATGATTCCAGCACTCTGGAGGCTGAGGCGGGAGGATTTTACATAAGCGGGTTCAAGGCCAGCCTGCACTACATAGTGAGATCCTCCAAAAAAAAAAAAAAAAGCCAAATAAATATATAATCAGTCACAGGAAACGGTGTACACACCTGTAATCCCAGCTACGTGGGAGGCTGAAGCAGGAGGACTGAAAATTCAAGGCCAGCCTATCAACTCACCAATACCTTATCTCTAAATAAAAAGGGAAGGGGATATAGCTCATTGCTAGGTACATCACCCTTTTCAGCTAAAGGCCATGAGATTTTTTTTTTTTTTTTTGGATGCAATTCAAATAATTCAACTGCCTGGTCTTTACAATATCATATATAACATCTAATACAGGTATATGAAATATTTATAAAAATCTTATTTTGTAATAAAGAGATAAAAGTATCATAACTGTTAGGTTTAAATCTGGTGAGGGGGGCTTGGGTTCAAAGCCCACAACACTTTGTGGGTTTGCTAGGACTCTAAGCATAGTTTCGCACTGATGACTTCTGCAATGTGCGACCTGCTAACTTGGCTATAAAAGGGCTGGCAGTGGCCCCTCTTGCTGAGAACAGCTGTGAGTTACATCACACGCACTGGGCACCATGTCTGGCACAAGAAGGGTGCAGCCAGTACCGTATTAACTAGTCTCGTTACCTTATTTATAGCTTGAAGTTTCTTTGAGATGAGGGTCTTGCTATGTTGTTCACGTTGGCCTTGAACTCCTGGGCTCGTGTGCCTCAGCCTCCACTAATTGTTCTGGAGACGTTTAGTCCAGAGTAACTTTCTAAGCCAGGCATCGTGCCATATACTTGAAATCAGAGCAGGCAAGAGGCTGAAGCAGGAAGACTGTGAGGAGTCCAAGGCCAGCGCGTGCAACACAGCAAGATGCAGGTTCAAAATACCAATCAATCAAACACAAGAAGGAAAAAGAAAAAGGAAGCTGGGGACACAGTTCAGCGACATAAGCACCTGCCTGGCAAGTGTGAGGTCATGAGTTTGATTCCCAATACAAAAAAAAAAAAAAAAAGAAAGTAAATTGGTACCTTAAAGTTAGGTATGCTTTTTTGTTGTTTTATTTTTTAAGAGCTACGTACTCCAGGCTGGCCTTGAACTATGTAGCCCATGCTGGCCTGAAAAAAAACCCATCTTCCTGCCTCAGCTTCCTGAGTGCTGGGATCATAGATGCACACCAGCATACCTGGCTAGTTATGCTTTTCTTCTTTTTGTTTATCACACTAAATTCAAGCTAAAAACACATGCCTGTGGGCTGAGGAGGATGGCCAAGTGGTATAGTGCTTTCCTGGCATGCAAGAGGGCCTGTGTGATCCCAGCACCACAATGCAGCTCAAAAGAGATTTGTTACATTGTAACCAAAGTAACTTTGGTTTGTTACACTCAAAAAATCTGACTGAGTAAAATACACCCAATGTACATATTCTACTTTCAGTTGAAAAACTGTAAATTTAAGAACATACACATTTTAATGTGTTAATTAGTTTGAATCTTCCTTTCCAGCTAATACATACAATCTTGTTTCATTCCGAAGGCAATACATCTCTGTAATCTGCAGTACTGACATCGATTTCGATGGTGTTTGTTAATAATACAGTCCTTTGATCCACGACATGAATATACCAAATTTTTTCGGATGCTTCTTTTAAAAAATCCTTTGCAGCCTTCACAAGTTACTGCTCCATAATGACGCCCTACAGAAAATATTCAAGAAAATACAAAACTTCATTTTTTTAGAACAGAAATAAAACTCATTTCTAAACACAATATATGACATTAAACAGATTTTTTCCAGATGATCCCAAAGTTTTGTCTACCTTAATAATGCAAATTATTCCTGGAACAGAACTCAAAAAGTAGGATAACAAGGTACTATATTACAAAAGATCATAATTCATTTGTAAACTAAATCTTTACACAAATTTAATTTTCACACTCATAAATCTTTTCACTTTCAAAAGTGAAACTTTTTCATAATTCATTGAAACATGTATCTTATTCATTACACATCAAACAGCACCAAAGTTTTTTTTTAAAAGCAAGCATTAAAAAGCTTTGAGAGGGCTGGGGATTTAGCTCAGCAGCATAAGTGCCTGCTTTGCAAGCGAGTGGTCAGGAGTTTGATTCCCGGTACCAAAAAAAAAAAAAAAAAAAAAAAAAGAGCTTTGAGAAAAAATTAGCTAAATACTGTAGACTACAAATATGAACCATAAAAGTGACATATTCCTTTATTTTCCATTTTCCCTTTTTGCCTTTAGAAGAAACATGGTGATAGGGTAGTGATTTTAACAACACGACTTATAGGAGTCATTTTTAATGTTACCTGATGCTTTGTCGCCACATACTACGCAAAGATCAAAACCTTTATTTTGTCCTTGGTCTTGTGAAGAACTATCTGTTAAGAGCTTAAAAAAAAGGGACAGAGAAAATGTTATTACTCAGTAACATTCTTATTCTGGTAAAAAGTAAAATAAAATAAAAATAAAGAATATTCAGTCATTTTTTTTACTTTCTTTATAAACTTGTTAAATTTGAAACTCTAACATTTTTCTTTATATAGTGGTGAAAGGGTCAATGTTGTAAGAAACAAAGAGGCACAGAGTATCTTTTCAATTTGTTCTAGAGCCAAGAAACCAAACCGCCCAGACAGTAACACACAAGTACAGGAGGGGGGCACCGGCCGTCCTCAGGGGGAGCCCTGAGTGCCACAGGGAGCAGTAGGAAGCATCCGTCCAGACAGCCACCACTGAAGGGCTCAGCACCTTTCCAAGGGTGTCCACGTGGCCAAAGCTCCTAACATCATAAAAGAAAGCACTGAACTCTTTAAAAGGAAAAGGGAACTACAAAGAAGCTGACTGAGGTGCTGTAACTACAATCCTGTGAACAGGACTGCTACACCCAGGCAGACTCGGGGAGTCCAGACTGGGGACTGCAGGTTGCAGCCACCTACTGAGCTCGCCGGGGCCACATCCTCAGGCATGGTCACCAGGCAGCTGGCAAACGAATGCTGGTATCTTTTCTTAGGTTTGGTCTTCAGACTTTTCACTTTTTCATTACTATCTTGTAAAAACCATCAATTCAATCCAAAAGAAGGGTCATAACATTTACCAAACACCTTCCCTCTGCTCTTAAGGAACACAATAATGTTCTCTATCCTGACCCTTTTTTTTCCATTTAGGAGTACAAAGGTCTTTGTGACTTTTAAATGAGAAAACACAAACACAAAGGACAAAGTTCTTAAAATGACTGCCCCTTTCAATGTAACACAAGGCAAGATCACTTCCTGTAGTCCCCCTCACACACACACAAATCAGTGTTTGTAATGCTTGTAATTCCAGCATGTGGAAGGCTGAAGCAGGAGGATTTCTATGAGGTCCAGGCTACAGAGTGAGGGCCTGTCACAAAAATCCAAAACAAAGTAAAACAGCAACAACAAGTCTCCTGGTATTCCATGTCTCTTGAAAGCACCTATAAGAAACATCAGTCCTTTCCTTACCTGGATATCTACTACATAATTTAGTAATTTTTTATCAGTTGTGATTCTTAAGGAAAGGACAGAAGAGGCAGGGGAGGTTAAAGGACTCCTCACATTCCATTTTAAAGCAAAAGACCAGAAATCAAATTTCTTGGTCCAGGGAATTCCAATCCGTATCTGCTTCTCTCTCACTGCCCTGTAAGTAGTCAAGCACCAAATTATATTCAGCTTTAAAACAGAGACTAAGAAAAACAGGAGTAACTGTATAAAAGAAACCTGACAAACACGTCTTCAGCCAGGTGACCAGAATCAACCTGACAAGCCATGTATTATGTTGACGGTAAAAACTCTGATGTAAGATACACCTGCATTTAATCTCTATAACCTTTCTCTTCAAAACCTGTGACCCCTGTCTCTCTCTCTCTCTCTCTTTTTCTCTTTTTGGTGGGTACCAACAATTGAACTCAAGACCTCGTACTTGCGGGGCAGGCACTGTACCACTGAGCTAAATCCCTGGGCCCTGTCTAATCATGAGAAAAATATCAGACGAAGTCCAAAAGTGGAACATTTTACCATACACATCACTAATAATACCCTTCATGGCCACCAAGCAACTAACAGGAGCCTAGGCAGATGGAGAATTAAGTGTGATGTGGTACCTGGAACAACCAAAAAGGACCTTAGAGCCAACTGTGTGGCTGCACATTTGACAAATCAGCACAGAATCTCTGTAACCTAAATATGCTAATCAGGAGGATCACAAGTTCCAGGCCAGGCTGGGAAACTTGGCACGAATCTATCCCAAACATTTACAAAAGAGGGGCTGGAACATAACTGAGTGATAGTTGAGCTGGCACATAAACGAAATCCTGGCTTCTACTCCTAGTACTGCAAGAAAAAAAGAAAAGGAAAGGTTTTAGGTAAAAACTAAGGAAAGGCAGCTATAGGGAGCAGCTGAAGCTGGAGATGGATCACCTATATGGAGCTAAAACAAGGCCAGCCCTGAGAACGCAGAAAGCCCAAACGCAAGCCAAGTAAACAAGCTCTTCCAGCTCACAGAAGGCAAGGTCCTCGGTCAGCTAGGCGAATAAGTTGCTAGGCAGAGGGGTAGAAATTTACATCATCCTCCCGAGTGTATAAATAAGAAGTGCTACAGTGGTTGAGCAGTTCCTTTTCTCCCATCAAGAGAGAGGGCTCCACCTGACCTCGGCTTTTGGCTCTGTTCTTTATTTTCCCACCCTCTCATCCTCTCACCCTTTATCCTTCCCCCTGGAGAACATCTAGAGCTGTGCTGGATATGTGGCATATGGTGCCCAAACAGGGACCAACGTAAGAAGAAATAGTGGGTGAAGGGACACGTCTCACTGTGTGCGTGTAAGAGGGAGAAGTGCATTGGCAGTGGTCAATACTCATCACTGGCGTGAACTGATACTGATATCACCAGGTGTTTTTTTGTTGTTGTTTGTTTGTTTTCTTGCTACAGGCGATCGAACTCACGACCTCACACTTGCCAGATCATCAGGTGTTAAAACTTGGGACAAAAAACAGGTTCACTACGGCCAAAGAGAGAAACAGAAATAGGCTTAAAAAAGAGAGAAATAGGTTTAAGAGAAGTCAAAGGAAGAAATGGGCTTACAAGAAACAAAAGGGAAAGTAATGCATTGATTTCACCAGCTGTTAAACATGGGACAGACAAGTTCTCAAGAACTACAAATGTGTATGGAACTGTTTATTATATTCTTGATTTCTGTATTTTCTTTATTTTTGGGGACTTGCATTAGGGAGCGCTTCGATGGTTTTTTGGTGGGACGATCGCAAAGGATTTGGCTCACAGCACTATTTTAAAATAAAGTCCTGAGCGGGGAAAAGATGGCAGAACAACAGCCACCCTGATAACTTTAACTGAGCCGCAAGTGGCAATTCCCAACTTCTCAGTACAGGGAAATTTTGCTACATCACTGGCTGTATTTCCACCCTTCATAAAAGAGTGTCATCCTTTAAGTTAACTGTTCAACAGCTGGTCTTTGAAAATAAAAATAAATGGTGCAAAAAGGCTTTAAGAGGCCACAAAAGATAGGCTGCACTGGCTGAGAGGACTCACATTCATAGAGTGAGTGGCCCCTCATCTAAGAGGGGGCTACCTCGGCAGCCGCTATCACTCAGCTTATCCACTCACAGCGCAGAGAAAAGGGAAGAAACAGGGTCACTTGCCTTAGCTTTGAGGGCGGAGGCACAAAACGGTGGCCCTGTCTTCCATGTGCTGAGGCACAAATCCCACTAAGCTTTAAAAATGAGGGCCAGGGGTTAGCCCAGTGGCATAAGTGCCTCCTTGGCAAACACGAGGTCATGAGTTCGATCCCCGGCATCAAAAAAATAAAAAAATAAAAGCAAGCCTGGGGCTGTGTAACAGCCCTGCCAAACAGTAGAGGTGCTGTGGCTTGGACAGCTTCCCCAAGACGACATGGTGCATGGCACCATAGCTCCTAGTGGCTGGGTGTAGCATGGTCCCAATCTGTAGATTTTGATTTTTGTTTAAAAAACACTCTGAAGAAATTTTTTTTTTCAAATAACAAATATGACAACTAACTCATAAAACTTCTAAAAATTCAACACCTGGCTTTCACAATCTGGCGCTAAACTAGCTCCCGCATAGTACCGTCTCATTATGGCTTTGTAGTACACTTTGATATCTGGTAATGTAAATTCACAAGCTCTTATTTTTCAAAATTGTTTACTTCAGGGGTACTTGCTTCAAATTCATGATCAACATAACCATACTTATTTAGGTCTTTTTTGCTTTCTTATATCAATTTTAAGTTTTCAGCACACTGATACTACACAGCTACAAATTTGAGTTTATTTCCAGAAGAGAAAACTAAATTTACACACTCAGGAGGAAGTAAAAAAGCAGCTGAGAGGAAGGCCAGAAAAAGAGAAATTCAGCACAAATCTATCCTGGACCTCTACAGATTTTTAATGGGTATTTAACAGGGAGAAACTGCTGCTTTTGCTCTTCTCACCCTCCCCAGGCAGGGGAGAAAACCAAAGAGCCATATACACACACACACTCTGTTTTGTATTTTTTTTTTTTTTTCCCTTGAAGTACTGGGGATCAAACTCATGACCTTGTGCTTGCCAGGCAGGCGCTTATGCCACTGAGCTAAATCCCCAGCCCTTAATACTGGTTCTTAAGGATTGTTAAACCTGTGTTACCATGTTCAAGTTGTGAAATGATAAAAATAAGCATGTCTTTCTATTTGGCAACCAGTATTAAAAAGTGTCTGGTTATCAGGTTGACTTGGAATGGTTGCTACATTGAGTCAACTTGAGAAGTTCAGTGGCTTGGCTGAGTGACTCGGGAGGGAGGCCGGTGTCTCACCTTGTACACACCCTTACTCTGTGCAGGACGACGACACAGATGCTGTGCATGCTGCACCCACCCTAGGGAGGTAGCCTGCTCACAGTGCAGGGCAAAAAAAAAGAGGCTTACACTTCTCCCACATTTGCTGCCTTCTGATGCTATGAACTGTTACTCCTTGGATTACTGTTCAACAGGCTTCTCCTTCCCATCCACCTTCCGTGAAAATGCTTCTGCCTTATGAGAACAGTTCCATCTCACCCAAGAACAGGATGGACAAACTGCTAAACAATGTTCTTCATGCATAATACATCTTCCCTCACTGCAGGGGTTACTCCCAGAGGCTTACACATCAGTCATCTTTGGCAAACTCACATTCTTGAGTTTAGCTGTTCATACTGGCTCTGTGTTTCAGTAGACATTTCCTCAGGATTTATTTTTGCTTCTGCCTACACTGGAAATGGGGCTAAACATGTCACTGCTCACTGTTTGGATCTCTTTGGTGCATTTGGTTGCCCGTGGGTACTTGACAATAGCCCAGCCTACACAAGTGCGGCCTTCCAAATGTTTTG